CACAGGGTCATGCTGGGAAGCTTGTTGGACCAGGGACATTTCTGGGACTCCACCACTGCTGCTGGTGCTCTAGGCGGAAAGGGAGGCCACAGGGTCATGCTGGGGGGCTTGATTGAAGCTCTCTGGCTTCCTCTGCAGGCCGGCAGGTGCACTGGCCAGAAAGGGGCTCTTCTGCTGAATGCTGTGAGTCCGCTTCAGTGGGAGAAAAAAGGTGGAAACTTCAACGGATAGGGAAAAACAGTTGGGAACCCCAAAAGGAAGGGACTGTGGTCTGATAGTAAACTGCTTCTTTTGTTTTGTTTCTTCCGAAATAATGTAGGATGCCATGGGAAAACTGAATAATTCTCCTTTGATTGCCACAGATAGGTTCTCAGCCTGGAATCCCATGGCCACCAAGAGCTGGGTTGTTTTGGGGTTGAAGTGGTCTAGGATTTGTTCTTCATATATTGTCAGAGGCAACTCCTGGCCACTGTTCACCCACAGGTCCCTCACCACTTCTTCTAGTGCTGTCTGCTCCCTGGGGTCTATCTACTGTTAATAGTTTATTATTGAGGCTTTTTGAGACCTCAGGAAAAGTATACTGGGGAAAAATATCTTCCATTTTAACATTTTGCCATGAAGACCCTAACACTGCATTAGCGGAAGGGCAGAACTTCGCCCACATGTGATGTAACGTTACTCCGAGGCTCCAAACATCCATGGTGGGGCATTGGTAGCCCTGGCCCAGGAAGAGTTCTGGGGCTATGTAGGTAGGGGTAGGTGCCACAAAGGGCTGTCAGCTGCTGTCCCTCATGGAATGTGGTACCTAAGCCGAAGTTCGTGATCTTAATGTTACCGTCCTTAATGTTACCCACCTGCGTGGGCTCTGGGGAAATGAAGGCAGGCGGTTTGCCTTCCCAGGACCTGCTGCAGGTGGGCACCCCTAAGGGAGGCAAGGGGACAGGACAAGTTCTCAGGAAACCTCTGCCCAGAGTTTGTTTTTTCCACTCTACAAGAAGCTATCAGTACCTACTATGTGCAACAGACAGAGCCCTACAGCCAAGTTTAGATATTAACCAGGAAAGCCAGGGGTCCGGTCTCCAGAGGACCCACCTCCCCTGTCTTGCAGGAGGGCTGAAGGAAAATGTTAGGCAATTCAACCTAGCAAACATTTACCCAATGCCAGCTGGGCCCAAAGTCCAGTGTCAGGCACAGAAGAGTCCAAAAAAATTTACTGATCCTAGTTCTGTCCTCCTAGTGCTGACCTTGACAAGCCACAGTAGAAAATGCCCTGTGCCCCAGGGCAGGGGCCACTGAAGAGCTGAGGGACACTGAAGGGAAGAACAAGTCCCACCTTGGGCAGCCAAGGAGGGCTCCCTGGAGGAGGGGACACCTGAGAGGCAATGCCAGAGGAAGCATGGCTTCTGAAAGCAGAGTTCAGGAGGGGAAGATGCTCCAGGCAGAAGAGGCAGCATAAGGAAAGGTGAGGAGGGGGCATCTTTAGAGACCCTGAGCTAGTCCAGTTCTGCTGATGCAAGAGCCACGGGTGGGCCAGGAAATAGCTACGACAACACTGACTGGAGGAGGGCACTCTGCAGGTGGCTTCTGACCAAAAAGGCAGATCCCAGCCACGTGGGGAGAGCCCCCAATGTCCAGGAGGATGCAGCAGGAGACAGGCAGTGCATCCAGTGGGAAAGAGCTCAGGTGACAGAGTCAGACATCCTGGATCCCAGCCCCTGCTCAGCCACCCATGAGCTGTGTGACCATGGGCAAGTTACTGAAGCTCTCTGGGCCTCAGCTTCCTCATTTATATAGTGGGCCTCAGACCATTTATAAGCACAATAAGACGCTGTACTTACCAAGGGAATAGCACATTGCCTGACACCCAGGGGCAGCCATGTACCACAGTTTATTGAGCAATTATCTTTCTTGACACTCATCAATCTAGATAAGGCACATCCTTTCTGGGACTGCCAGACTCTAAAAGCTTCCAAGGGTCAAGTTCATCTTCACAGTGGAGCCTCTGACCAGAAAAGAGGTTGCAGGCTCAGAAAAAAAAGGATGACGAAAATACTCATCAAAGTATTTCGGGGCGAAGAGGACCAAGTAGAAAGGATGACACCCTCATAGTGGGCAAGGAAGGGAGTTAACCATTTCCTTGCTGCAAAGGTTGGGCCTTGAGATGGGCTGCTAGTAAATGACCCAGTCTGTGGAGACCAGATGACGTCCTACTCTGGAACTGGCTGCAGGTGCCATCAATCCTTCAGGAGAGCGGGGAGTGTGAGAGGAAACCATCCAGGGTTGCTGGGATGTCCTGGCATGATGGTGGCCAGGGAAGGCCCAGAGCAGGCACCTCCCCAGTCCCGACATCCCCACCACCCACCTGGGGAGAACAGACGCACACTCAGGAAAGAAGTAACTTTAAAGGGGCTTCACTAGAACCACAAGGATGAGACATAGCAAGTGCTGGCCAGGACATAGAGATGGTGGCACCTTCACACACTGCCCCTGGGAATCTGAAAAGGGGCAGACACTTGGGAAAGCACCTGGCAGCTCCCAAACAGTTAAACACAGAGTTATCCTACGCCCCGGCAATTCCACTCCTACCCAAGAGACCGGAAACACACGTCCACATGTGAGTGCTCACAGCACCATTATTCATAACCACCAAAATATGAAAACAACCCAAGGGTCCATCAAAGGATGACCAGAGAAGCAAAACGCAGTTGATCCCTGCAATGGAAAGTTATTTAGCAACACAAAGGAACAAAGTGTGGACACACGCAACAACACAGATGACTTTGAAAACGTGCTCAGTGAGAGACACCAGTCACAAAACACTGTACGCATGGACGTATATGGCTGCATGCACCGTGCGCTTCTATTCCCATGAAACGTCCAGAACAGGCAAATGCAAAGACACAGAAAGCAGATTCGTGGTTATCAGGGGCTGGAGAGAGGACAGAATGGGGAGTGAAGCAATGGGTATGGAGCTTCCTTTTGGGGTGATGAAAATGTTCTGAAACTGGATACTAGTGATGGTTGCACAGCTGTATGAATCTAACAAGAAATGCTGAATCGTATCCTTAAAATGGGTGGATTTCATGTGATATAAATGTCGATAAAAATAACCACCTATTTTTTAAAAAGTGACTTAAGGCAGGAAATAGAGTGGTCATGAACAGGGATTGCAAACTACAGCCCCTGGGCCAAATGTAGCCCCCTATTTCTATAAATAAAGTTTTATTAGAACACAGCCATACCCATTCATTTCCACATCATCTAAGGCTGCTTTAGTGGGACAACGGCAGAGCTGAATAGTTGCCACAGACACCATATGGCCAGGAAAGCCTACAATATTTACATCCAGCCTCCACAGAAGCTTGCCACCCTCTGCCCAAGAGGGAAAACTCTGGGGCCAGGCTTGGCTGCATATTAGCTCCACATCTGTTCTGTGTGTGTGTGTGCACACTCAGGTGAGTGTGTGGCTGTGTTCATTCTCTGTGCATCGTCCAGTCGCCATACAGGAAATGAGCTAGGGTGTGTGAAGTGCGTGCCCCTAAGAATGCCTGGCCGCAAGGTGGACTCAAACTTTGCTCATTCTGCTCCCAAGAACAGCTTATACTCCCCACAAACCCTGTAGACAGGATCCCATCACCTCCTGCACCACCCTTTCTTCAGCTTCCCTCTGCTTTGAGAAAAAAGGTGAATCCCACACTGACAGACAGGACCCTGTACACCCTGCATCTCACCCCACTCCATGCTTCAGTCTCCTCCAGAATAAAAGGACCTTCCCTGCCTGGCACACTGGCTCTAAGGTCTGGACCAGGAAGCAAAACCTGCCCCCAGAGCCCGAGCAGGAGGCACGGCCCCAGCCAGCCTCTCCCAGCCTCCCATTGTGACTGAGAATCTTGGCTTCCCCAAGATGTGCTGCACCAAGGACCAGCGCTGTGACCAGCAGGGTCTGGCTCCAGGGTCCGCCACAGCTCTGAGCACACAGGCCCTGCTGCAGGGACCCCTGAGCGCCAGGAGTGGCCATGGCTCGATGCTACCGTGGGCTTGGGGCCCACCTCACGGGTGGGTTCTGCCTCTTCAGCACCTCCGCCAGCAGCAACTTCACCTCCCTGACTGAAGCTGCCCTCCAGGGAACCTGCAGGGTTGGATGCCAGAGGAGTGGGAAACACAGAGAGGCCAGGTTCATAGTAGAGGGACGATCCAGCATGGGCTACAGAGGACAAACAGGCAGGGGGACGTCTTCACCCTCGGAGTCCAGGGCCTGGATCTTCAGCTCTATGAGGGAGTCCTCCAGGTAGAGCTCGCGGATGGTGGAGACAATCTGGATGTCATGGATGAGATCCACGATGGCATCACAGCGCAGGACCTGGCCTGTGGCTGGAGGAACCCCACGGAGAAGTCAGCACTGAAGACAGCACCTGCCCCTGGCTCCACCTCCAAGCCTTGCAGGCTTACCCTTTGGCAAAGACCACAGTGACCACCAGCTTCACCCTCAGAAGCCAAGCAGCTGCCTCGCACATGGCCCCACTAACAGTGAACAGGGACTACCAGAAAGGAAGGGCTGTGGGGGCCTTGTTACCATCTGGTCCAGCTTTTTAAATGCAGGGCACCAGCATTTAAAGCTGTGGGCAAAGAAAACTCCAGAAAAACTTAGTTTCATTCAGGGTATAACCATTCAGTGAAGTGACAAGGGTTATAGTATGATGAGTTCCATCCCAAAGACGAGAGCCCTGTCCCTTCACTGAGCTTAGGGATTACGCTGGTGGTTTTGTTTATTTTTGTTTCTTTTGAGATAGGGGCTCAATTTGTTGCCCAGGCTGGAGTGCAGTGGCTCCCGGGGTCAAATGATTCTCCTGCCTTGGCCTCCCTAGTATTTGGGACCACAGGCATGCATACACCACCATGTCTGGCTAATTTTTAAAAACTTTTTATAGAGTCAAGGTCTTGCTTTGTTGCCTAGGCTGGTCTTATACTCCTGGGCTCAAGTAATCCTCCTACCTTGGCCTCCCAAAGTGCTAGGATTACAGGTGTGAGCCATTGCGCCCAGCCTATGATGGTGTATTTATGTGATTATCAAGTATATTGTAGAAGGGGCGCATGGACACTCAAACAGATGTTTTTTACTCGCTCCATAAAAAGGTACGTAAATGGCATTACCTGGGGAATTCTGAAATGTAAGCATAGCAGCAGGATACAACATTTTTCTGACTCTTCTCCAGGTACTTGTGCATTGTTAACATTGTTTTGTTGGAAAGCAATACAGTCCCATGTATCAAAAACCTTACAAATAGGCTGAGCGAGGTGGCTTATGCCTGTAAGGGCACTCAGCCCTTACTGATGTCCTCTGCAAAGATGATGCTGGTGAGGCAGGCAGGCTGGGTCAGGCGGGCCTGCACCACCGCCTACTGGGAGCACTGCTGCCTGTCCAGGCCAAGCAGCTTGATAGTGGCCACCTCCGGCCGGGTGGACAACCTGCAGTAGAAGAAGACAGCATTTAGTCTCTGGAGCTGCACTGCAAGGCACAGCGGGGTCCAGACATCAGGCTGAGAAAGTAATCTCAGAATATCTGTTGGCTCACACAAGGCAATATAAATCTCAAGCCAAGGGTCCAAGAAAAACCAAGGAATCTGCCGCATCCTCCCTAAGCTCTCCAAATACCATTTGTCCTGAGAGAAACTTTTTTGACTCAAGTTCCCCACCAAGAACTGTGGAATTCCCCATGAACATTCAAAACACGAACAGGTTTAGAAAAGAAAAGCTATACTGACTTTTGGCCTGATTCCTGTGAAGTCCCCGGACCCCCATCTTTTGCAAAGTCCTGAGAAAACAGCAGCGGCAGGAGGTTGATGGTGATCCCATCCTGAGTGTTGTATTCTTCCAGTCCGTACAGCGCTTTCACAGGAAATGGAAAGTCACTGCGGAGAAAAACTAGAATCTGATGCTGCAGCTCAGGAATACGCAAGGCTACAGGGAAAACCACTAGAGCAAACCAATTTCAAATACAACATCATGGGGAGAAATTAGAAACAGAAGAACAGTGAAACTTTTAGGAATTTTGGAGCTAAGGGTGCAGGGGTGCTGGGGTTGGGAAGAAAGAAGCTGTGGGCCTGGGCAGCTGTGGCTGAGGTCAAGGGTATTCTGAAGTTTGTATCAGCTACTGACAGAATTGATGTAACTTCACCACTACAACCAAGCCAGCAGGTAAACAATACCTACCCTTCTGGAACAACACAGGAGTCCACTATGAAGGCATCCTGGAAATCATTGCAGATGGTATGCCCAACACGTTCCTTCAGGAAGCAAACAAACAAAAAGGGCAGTGCAGGGTGTACTTGCTGTAGAGCCCTAGATAAATTACTATTAACCTTTCTAAGTCTCAGTTCTCTCATTTCTAAAAAGGAAGTAACAATAAATATCTCATTATTGTGAAGTAGAAAAGAGATAGTGCATAAAAAGCACTTAGCACAAGGCCTAGCATAGAATAGGGCTCTCAGACAGATAGTAGCCATCATCATTAACAAAGTCAATCTCTTCTTTACTATTGTTATTAAGTGAAGGAAGCCTCAGAGAAGAGCCCTGAGACAGGGTAGGGCAGAAAAGCCTTTCGCAGTTAGAATTTAGGAGAGGTCACAGGATGATCTATTTTCACACTGCAACAGAAAGACCTGAAGAGTATAGTAAAGCAGTTCTCATGCTTTATTGCTTTAAGAAAAGACAATTGGCTTTACCAGGGCTTTTGGATCCAGCTTTTCTTGTTGGATCAGGTTGGCAAATTCATCATAGTAAAGTGCAGAGGCCTGAGGAGACTGCTCACTGCAGGAATGAACCAACTGCAACAAGGAGGTCACCTGGAGCAAAGAGGAAGAATGGTTTAAACCTTGGGCTGCCAATCCTTCCCAAACTCCATTCGCCCCATTCGAGACTGTTTTTTTCACTTTCTGATTTTACTGGCAAAGCTCTACTTCTCACTTGAAGTTTTCCTGAATGTTCTGACCCATCTGTCTCTTTCCGATATCATCCCTTTTCCAATCTGTCAGACACTGCAGCCAGATTAATTTTTCTAAAGCAAAGCTTTGATTTTTGCCATTTCCATGCTAAGAAACCCTTAAGGAATACCTCTGCCTAAAGAATGAAATAAAAATGTACTGTTTTGCATGCAAGGCTCTCTGTTTTCTCTCTCAACTAGCTTTTTCTTTTTTCCTTTTGAGATAAGAGTCTCGCTCTGTCGTCCAGGCTGGAGTATAGTGGTGCAATCTCGGCTCAAAGCAACCTCTACTTCCCGGATTCAAGAAATTCTCTTGTCCCAGCCTCCTGAGTAGCTGGGATTACAGGCGCCTGCCTCCATGCATGGGTAATTTTTTTGTACTTTCATTAGAGATGGGATTTCACCATGTTGGCCAGGCTGGTCTCAAACTGCTTACCTCAAGTGATCCTCCTGCCTCAGCCTCCCAAAGTACTGGGATTACAGGCATGAGCCACCATGCCCTGCCTGAACTAGCTTTATGTCCCACTTTCCAGTTATACACTTATTTGTCCCCATGCTTCAACCAAAGTGTTATTCAATAGATATGGCACATCTTTCTTGCTAAGACTTTATAATTTAATTGGAGAGATTAAATGGATATAGAAATAAATGCAACCGACCTGGGAGTGGTGGCTCACCTCTGTAATCCCAGTGCTTTGGGAAGCTGAAGGGGGCGGATCACCTGAGATCAGGAGTTTGAGATCAGCCTGACCAACATGGCGAAACCCCGACATGGTGAAACCCTGTCTCTACTAAAAATACAAAAATTAGCTGGGCGTGATAGTGCATGCCTGTGATCCCAGCTCCTCGGAAGGCTGAGGCAGGAGAATCGCTTGAACCCGGGAGGCACCACTGCACTCTAGCCTGGGAGACAGAGTTGAGACTCCATCTCAAACAAAGTAAGTGCAACCCAAGCCAGTAGTTTCCAAGTATCATAAAATCACAAAGATAGGAGTTCAGGAAAACTTTTTTTTTTTGCCTTTTTTTGAGACAGTGTCTTGCTCTGTCGCCCAGGCTGGAGTGCAGTGGTGTGATCTCGGCTCACTGCAAGCTCCGCCTCCCGGGTTCAAGCAATTCTCTGCCTCAGCCACCCTAGCAGCTGGGATTACAGATGCCTGCCACCATGCCGGGCTAACTTTTTTTTTTTATATATTTTATTATTTTTAGAGAAGAACTCACGTGTGTGCACTGCTCATCGCTCAGGTTGGCTCTCTCTTGGGTCAAACTAGATGATGCACTTCTAAAAGCAAATAATTTTAATTTCACTTTTGTAATATTTTATAACAATTGCCAATAAGTTTAAGTATTCTGACTTCCCTAGGGTACAGTAAAGATAAAAGTACATGAAGGGAGAAAAGAGTATTTATTTTGTCCATACAAAATACAGATTAGAGCAAAATATTGTTATCTTATATATATTTTTCTTTTCTCTTTTTTACTTTTTTTTTTTTTTTTGAGACAGAGTTTCGCTCTTGTTGCCCAGGCTGGAGTGCAATGGCGTGATCTCGGCTCACTGCAACCTCCGTCTCCCAGGTTCAAGCGATTCTCCTGCCTCAGCCTCCCGAGTAGCTGAGATTACCGGCATGTGCCACCACACCCAGTTAATTTTGTATTTTTAGTAGAGACTGGGTTTCTTCATGTTGGTCAGGCTGGTCTTGAACTCCTGACCTCAGGTGATCAGCTCACCTCGGCCTCACAAAGTGTTGGGATTACAGGCGTGAGCCACCGAGTCCAGCCTGCTCATTTCTCTTACAGTTGTAACATCTACCGTTAAAATGATGTCTATGCAATGTAACACTGTTAGCTGGCAAGATTAACTCATCTTAAACCACAGAAGTCAGAATCTCCATGTGTACCTGTCTGCTGCCATGATGCCAGCCATGGTGACGGCACCAAAAATCCCGAAGAGTTTGTACTTGAATACGGTGCTAGAGAGCTGCTTTCTTATCACCAAGTGCATGTTATCCTGCAGTGAGATAATGAAGAAAGATGGTAATGCTGGAATTGCACAGCAAAAGAAGGTATGGTATGGATATTGAGCCATGCAGCTAGACTATAAAGGGTTCTATCGTTTACTGTTTTTTGTTTTGTTTTGTTTTGTTTTTTTGAGACAGAGTTTCGCTCTTGTTGTCCAGGCTAGAGTGCAATGGCGCAATCTCGGCTCACTGCAACCTCCACCTCCTGGGTTCAAGTGGTTCTCCTCCCTCAACCTCCTGGGTAGCTGGGATGACAGGTGCCTGGTACTACACCTGGCTAATTTTGTATTTTTAGTAGAGACGCGGTTTTACCATGTTGGCCAGCGTGGTCTTGAACTCCTGACCTCAGGTGAACCACCCACCTCAGCCTTCCAAAGTGCTGAGATTATAGGGGTGAACCACCACACCCAGCCCTGTGTGTCTTTAGCAAGTCATTTCATCTCTCCAAGTTTTAATTTTTACATCTGTGAAATGGGGAAAGTTGTTTTAAGGATTAGAGGTAAATTATAAAAAAAATTCTAGAACAGTGTCTGGCATATGATAGACATTCAATAATAATAGCTTTTATTGTTATTATTTCTATAAGGATATGAAAATTATCAATGTTGATGACTGCTCAGCTAAAATAATGAATTATAATAAAATACTTAGGTACAGATTTAAACATGGAGGCAAGGCTAGCCGCAGTGGCTCATGCCTGTCATCCTAACACTTTGGGAGGCTGAGGCAGGTAGATTGCTTGAACCCAGGAGTTCAAGACCAGCCTGAGTAACATGGCAAAACCTCATCTCTATAGAAAACACAAAAATTAGCCAGCTGTGGTAGTGCATGCCTGTGGTCCCAGCTACTCGGAAGCTGGGGTGGGAGCATCACCTGAGCCTGGGAAGTCAAGAATACAGAGCCAAGATCACATCACTGTACTCTAGCCTGGGTGACAGAGCCAGACACTGTCTCAAAATAAAATAAAATAAATAAACATTGCTGAAAAACTAAAGACATAAGTAAACGGAAAGAGCTATTGTCTTTGTGGACTGGAAGACACTCAATATTGTTAAGATGACAATACCATTCAAAGTGATTCAGTGCAATCCTTATCAAAGTCCCACAACATGTTTTGCAGAAATAGAAAGATCCATACCAAAATTCACATGGAATTTCACGGGACCCCAAATTGCCAAAACCTTGAAAAAGAACAAAGTTGGAGGGCTCACACTTCCTGATTTCAATATTAATACAAAGCTACAGTAGTCAAAACAGTGTGGTGATGGCAGGACAGACACATAGACCAATGAAACAGAACACAGAGTTCAAAGATAAGCTTTCATATATGTGACAAATTGATTTTTGACAAGGGTTCCAAAATCATTTCAATGGTGAAAGGACCATCTTTTCAACAAATGGCACTGGAAAAACTGGATATCCATATGCAAAAGAATGAAGTTAAATCCTTAAAATACACTATACACAAAAATTAACTCAAAGTGGATCAAAGACCTGAATTTAAGAGCTAAAACTTTCTCTTAGAAGAAAATAAAAGAAAATCTTCATGACCTTGGATTTGGCAATGGTATCTTAAGCATGACAACCAAAAGGACAAGCAACACAGGAAAAAAAATTGATAGAGAGTGGGTCGTACAGCTTTGGAGTGGCAACCTTCGTGGCACCAGTGACGATAAAGAGAATTAAATATGGGTGATGTTGAGAAAGGCAAGAAGATTTTTGTTCAGAAGTGTGCCCAGTGCCACACGGTAGAAAAGGGAGGCAAGCACAAGACTGGGCCTAATCTCCATGGTCTCTTCGTGTGGAAGACAGGTCAGGCCATTGGATTCTCTTACACAGACGCCAAGAAGAACAAAGGCATCACCTGGGGACAGGATAAACTGATGGAATATTTGGAGAATCCCAAGAAGTACATCCCTGGAAGAAAAACGATCTTTGCTGGCATTAAGAAGGCAGAAAGGGCAGACTTGATAACTTATCTCAAAAAAGTTACTAATGAGTAATAGTTGGCCACTGCCTTATTTATTACAAAACAAATGTCTCATGACTTTTTTATGTGTTCCATACTTTAATAGATCTCATACACAGGAATTCAGATCATGAATGACTGACAAAATATTTTGTTGGGCAGTCGTGGTTTAAAACTAAGACTGGCTTGTGGTTAAATGAATATGTTGTTTTTGAATTTTAATAGTAATTCCAATTCAGTAAATGCTATCACTGTTTACCCCTTCTAAAGATAAGATGAGACTTCCTTAGCAATGTTCAACTTTTCACAAAGATGGTGAGTCCTATCTTAAAACTTAATGGAGGCCAGGTGCAGTAGCTTACACCTGTAATCCCAGCATTTTGGGAAGCCGAGGTGGGCAGATCACTTGAGGTCAAGAGTTCGGGACCAGCCTGGCCAACATCAGGTGAAACTCTGTCTCTACTAAAAATACAAAAATTAGCTAGGCATGGTGGTGGGCACCTGTAATCCCTGCTACTAGGGATGCTGAGACAGGAGAATTGCTTGAACCTAGAAGGCAGAGTTTGCAGTAAGCAGAGATCATGCCACTGCACTGTAGCCTGGGCGACAGCAAGACCCCGTCTCAAAACAAACAAACAAACAAAACAAAACAAAAAACTTAATGGAGATTGATTTTATATTTAGATTTATATAACTGGTTATATGAATATATTCAAATACTGAGGAAATTCCTTCACTGTCTTAGAACCAAGCAAGATTCACCTGTGTTTTGTGTTCATTTGCGTCTTAAAGGCAAGGGTTGGAGATAAATAAGGTAGCAATGTCTCGTTTATATTTTTGGCCTTAACTATGCCAATCTAATTAGAATTCCCTGTATTTAAAATGGTGCCTTTAACTTATTGAAAGGCATTTTAGTGTGGTTTATGTGTAATATCAAAGATTATTTAACACTTCTCACATTTTATACATGATCTATAAAGTCACATGCTTTTAAAATAGTAGCAAGTTAAACTTCACTCTTGAATTCTTTACAATCGAACTCAAACTAAGTTATAATTTAGGATTGTCTTTAAAGAGCCATTCAGAAACATAAAACTATAAAACTGCTATGTATTTGTGATTGGGAATGGTGCTTTTGCCATCTTAAAAGGATTAAAGTAGAGGAGATATACACAAATTTTAACATTATGTGTGATCATAAGACTTAAGATAATTAAAAAGAAAACCACAGATGAAAAAAAATAGATAAGGCCAGGTGCAGTGGCTCACATCTGTAATCACAGCACTTTGGGAGGCCGAGGCAGGCAAATCACAAGGTCAAGAGATTGAGACCATCTTGGACAACATAGTGAAACCCCATTTCTACTAAAAATACAAAAATTAATTGGGCGTGGTAGCACGCACCTGTAGTCCCATCTACTCAGGAGGCTGAGGCAGGAGAATCGCTTGAACCCGGGAGGCGGAGGCTGCAGTGAGCTGAGATTGCGCCACTGCACTCCAGCCTGGGCGACAGAGCAAGATTCCATCTCAAAAAAAAAAAAGTAGATAAATTTGACTTTATTGAAACTAAATACTTTTGTGCATCAAAGGACACTATGAGGGGAGTGAAAACCCATAGAATGGGAGAAAATATTTGCAAATCATATATCTGATAAGAGATCAATATCCAGAATATACAAATAACTCCTATACCTCAACAACAGCAAAAACCCAGTTTAAAAATGGGCAAAGGGCTGAGCACAGTGGCTCGTGCCTGTAATGCCAGCACTTTCAGAGGCAGAGGCGGGTGGATCTCCTGAGCTCAAGAGTTTGAGACCAGCCTGGGTAACATGACGAAACCTCATGTCTACCAAAATTGCAAAAAATTAGCTGGGCACGGTGGTGCACGCACCTGTGGTCCCAGCTACTCAGGAGGCTGACATGGGAGGATCGCTTGAGCCTGGGAGGTGGAGGTTGCAGTGAGCCAAGATCACACCACTGCACTCCAATGTGTGTGACAGAGTGAGACCCCATCTCTAAAACAAAACAAACAAAAATGGGTAAACGACTTGAATAGACATTTCTACAAAAATATAGAAATGGCCAAGAAGTTTGTGAAAAGATGCTTAACATCATTAGTCATTAGGAAATGCAAATCAAACCACAATGAGATACCACTTCGTACACATCGGGATAATTATAATTAAAAAATAGGGCCAAGCAACATGGCAGGTACCTGTTGTCCCAGGTACTCAGGAGGCTGAGGCGGGAAGACTGCTTGAGCCCAGGAGTTTGAGGCTGCAGTGAACTATGATCACACCACTGCACTGCAGCCTGGGTGACAGAGCAAGACCCTATCTAAAAATATATATTTTTTAAATTTATTAATAAATAAATTAGTTAATAAAAATTAAAACAAAATTTTTTAAGAATGGAAAATAAATGTTGGCAAGGATATGGAGAAATTGGAGCCTACATGCATTGTTGGTAGGAATGTAAAATTATGCAGCTGCTGTGGAAAGCAGTTTGGTGGTTCCTCTAAATGGTAAACATATGGTCATCATATGATCCAGCAATTCCACTCTTAGATATATATACCCTAAAGAACTGAAAACAGGGACTCAAATATTTGAACAAATCCATAGACAGAATGTGATTAGTGATTATTAGGAGGTGGGGACAGAAAGATGGCGAATTATTGCCTAATGGGCACAAAGTTAGTTTGGGATGATCAGAAAGTTCTAGAAAAGGATAGTGATAATGGTTGTATAACATTGTGAATATACTTACTGCTACTAAATTGTATCCTTAAAAACAATTTAAATGGTATATTTTATGTTATGTATATTTTATCAAAATTCAAAAATAAAATAAAATAGTGAAGTGGATTTTTTATTACTGATTTGAAGCAATCTCCAAAATAAACTGCTAAATGCAAAAGGTAATATGTAGAACAAGAAGGGAAAGGAAACTACAGGTAAATACATATTTGTAAATTCTCAACATCTCAGAAGGTTATAAAGTGATTGCCCCTGTGGGAGACAAACCAGGTGCCTACAGGACTGAGAAGTGAGATTTATTTTTCACTGGATACCCTTCTATATGTTTTGAATTTTATATGACACATGTATATTACCTAGTCCAGAATTTTTTTTAATTAAAAAAATGTGTTGACTGGAGACTCAAGAAAGGTGTGGGTGGGGGGAGATAAAAAATATACTGGTTGTTCAAAGTCACAGTCCAGTATGAATTACTGCCTTAAGATAGCACTAAAGATACAAACGAGTTACAAGTTATGATTCCAATCTAATCTCTTTTTATTTATTTATTTATTTTGAGATAGAGTCTCTGTTGCCCAGGCTGGAGTGCAGTTGGCACAATCATGGCTCACTGTAGCCTCAACTCCCTGGGCTCAATGGATCCTCCCACTTCAGCCTCCTGAGTAGCTAGGATTACGGGTGTGCCACCACACTTGGCTAATTTCTGTATGTTTCTGTAGAAACGGGTTTCACCATGGTGCCCAGGCTGGTCTCAGACTCCTGGACGCATGTGACTCGCCTGCCTTGGCCTCTCAAAGTGCTGGGATTACAGCCTGGCTTTTTCAGTGAATGGTGTCCACAAATGAAAGCAAGCCCACGTGAAGTTCACATTAGATGGAGATGTTTCTTAGGAAACAAGGCAATTCTGTGTCCCCACTGCACTCGGAACCTGAACAGTTTTATGGTTAGCTGATCACAGACCCATCTCTACCCTAATAAACAAAGCTTTTCGAGGGCAGAGGATCTAATATATCAGTGTCTGGCACAGAATAGGCACTTAATGTTTGTGGTAAGAACAAAAAAATGCTGGAACTATGGCTATGTACTCCATTTCCACTACTACACACAGGCAAATCTATCATTTGCTTGTGTTTTTTTTTTTTTCCCCAGCAAATTTCAAGTAAAGAGGTTTAAAAATATGAAATACTAAAAATACAAAAATTAGTCAGGTGTGGCGGCATGTGCCTGTAGTCCCAGCTACTCGGGAGGCTGAGGCAGGAGAATTGCTTGAACCCAGGAGGTGGAGGTTGCACTGAGCCAAGAGCATGCCACTGCACTCCAGTGCAGGTGACAGAGCTAGACTCCATATCACACACACACAAAAAAGTCCAGGTGCGGTGGCTCATGCCTGTAATCCCAGCACTTTGGGAGGCCGAGGCAGGCAGATCATGAGGTCAGGAGATCGAGACCATCCTGGCTAACATGGTGAAACCCCTTCTCTACTAAAAATACAAAAAAATTAGCTGGGCATGGTGGTGCATGCTACTCGGGAGGCTGAGGCAGGATAATCGTGTCAACCCAGGAGATGGAGGTTGCAGTGAGCCAAGATCATGCAATGCACTCTAGCCTGGGCAACAGAGGGAGATTCCAAAAAAAAAAAAACAAGAAAACAAATCTTCCCCAACATATTGCCTCTTACCTGGATGTGACTGCTGGCTTCATTCTGTTTGCTAAATGCCAGCATGCTGAGAGCATTGAAGAGTTTTCATATTTGCTGAGGAGATATGTTATCCAGATAATCTAAAATGCCCTGCAGAAAAGATGATGCCAACAATGAGGCTGGCAGCTAACATTTTTCCCTTAAAAATCAAAAAATTAAAATCCCTATAAGAGAGGCACACATATCAGATAGCCAGGTATCTAAAACTTTTTAGCTGCCTTAAAAGCTCAAGTTCTAAAAGCTATGCTCAGAGCCCAAAGGTTTGATAGACTGGAAATAAACTGAGAAACTCTTCCAGCTTTCTAAGTCTCTTATTATCAGAGACTAGGAACTATCAGGAAAGATAAAGTTATCCTCTTCACTCTAAACCACAATCCTGGGCTTTAGTCGTCTACTGCTTAGTCATTCTAATGTACCTCCCAGTTCTCGGTATTCCTTACCTCCACCTTTCCCCCTTTTTCAGTGAAAACAATATTCTACCAAAAGTTATGTCTTTACCCTACTCCTTGCCATATCATCCCTTCCCAGCTTCTACTCCATGAATTATTTCTCCTTTCTCTACAGATCTGGAAGGAGTCACAAGGAAACGATTGACTTTGTGACCGTGGGAAATGTCTCAGCTTTTCTCATCTGTAACATGGTGATAATAATAGCTATACTACCTTTCATGGTTTGTCTGAGGATAAAGTAATAAAACAGTTTTGTAAACTTCTAATTAATTTTGAAATTTTTCTATTTCTTCCTCTCTATTGAATCCTTTCTCTCAGCCTACAAGCAATCTCAAACCTCCTCATCTAAAAAACATCTCCCTTGCAACCAGTTTCTCTCTCAAGCTACTTATTCTCTCTTTGATGCTTCTCGACATTGACTCTGTTCCCCAAGTCTTCAAGTTACTGCTGTCTGACTTCCACCCTTATAATTCAATTAACACTGTTCTCTCAGAGGTTACCAGAGGTATCCTAATTGCCAAAGCCAATAGCCTCTGCTCCATCTTCAACCTCTACAGTGTCCAACACTGGAGATAAATCCCTCACTCTTGAAACTCATTCCTGGGCTTTTGCTACCTGACATCCTTCAAGCTCACATTATTCATCTTCTAGTTTTCTCATTTTCCTTCTACGGACATTTGCTTTCATCTGCCACTTAAACTTTAACCTTCTCAAAATGTCTATGCTCTTCTAAGCTTCTATGGTCTTCTGCCTCAAAATTGCCTCAGTAGAGCTCACATTTATATGGTTCCGAATACCCAAACTAAATCTTCCACCAAAGGGTGCCCCACAGAGTTCCAAACCAGAATTTCCAACTATCCACTAACCATCTACACATGGTTATCCCACAATGAACTCATCATACTTCCTACAGAAGACGCACTCCCCTCCTGGTCTCAGGAAATGGCACAACCATTCACCTAGTTTCCTAAGATGAAAAACTCGGACCTAGTTTTCTTGTTTCTTATTGCCACATATTCTTAACAGTCACCAAGTCATGTTAATTCTAACACCAAATTGTCTCCTAAGCCATCATTTCTTCCACATTCCCATGACCAAAATCTGGCCCTTACTCTCACTCCCTTACCCTTTCAGTGGTCTCCAATCCACCCATCACATAGCTACTGAGTTATCTCTGAATGCTGACCAGATTCGGTCAACTCTGTGTAAAAACTGCTAATAGCTCCCTATTGTCTAGAAAATAAAGTTGAAACTCTTTAGCATGTTGAGACTCTTTGCAATATGGGCCTGTCCTATGTCTTACCAACCTCGCCTCCCATCACTCTTCTCCATATATATCCTATTCTCCAGTCATGCTTGTTTGCTTCTCATTCCTCAGTCACACTATTGACTTGGGCACCAGTTTGCTTCTGCTCAATCTCTTCTCTGCCTAGAACGCACTTCCCATACTTTCTCTTGTCAGTCATTCCCATCCTTCAGCAATCACTCAAATCGTCTCTTTGAAGAATTCTCCAGCTTCCCAGGCTAAATTTAATTATTCTTGCTCTGTTGTATCTATAGCACTTTACCGAAGAATTCACCATGCTGTATTTATAGTAAATTGCTTAGGTGTCTTAGTCTTTAACATCAAAGGCAAGGACCTACTTTACATCCATGGCACCCAGAATAGAGCTTAGTCTGTGGGTTAGATATAAAAAAGTGTTTGCTGAATCAATTAACACATAGATAGAATAGTTACTTTTTATTTATATTACTTGCCCATTATTTCACCTCTGTCCCACCTCCTCCCACCAATTATAGTATTCGATATCTAAAGTACAAGAAGCCAATAAGATGCCTTTACAAAGACAGCATTCATCATCATAGCAGACGGGTTTAACACTACCAACTCTAGGAGGACATCTAACGCAGTATCAACTTCAGCTTCATTCCCACTGCAGATATGGGTCACTAAGGCACCAACCACTTCCTATACAGAGGAGAGTCAATAGGACAACGTAAAACAAAATATGGGATGGCCATTCTAAGAGAATTCACCCCCGGGGCCTCTCCAATCTCTACTTCATTAAAATCACAATCAACCCAATCCCATCATCTATCATCTAGTTTTCATTAATGTTGGCTTCAGGAGATTTAGGAACATGCCAGTGTAACTTTACCATCCTGTCTTGACCTATTTGCCATATTTTATCAGTGAGCACTACCTAAGCCCTCCTGATTTTGCTCTTTGGCATAGTTTTCCTCTTTCTTGTTCCCACATGGGTTAAATTTTACCCTTTAAGTTGAGGTTGTACGAGATCAGTTGAAATTTCTCAAAAAGATGGCACTCAAGGAGCTAAAAGCTTTAAAAGTTTTCTCTATATAGTGCAGGCTAGACTTGCATGTTTCCAAGCAAACATGGATCATGATAGTGTCTCTAAGACATTAAGAGGGTTCAAAAATGTCTTGGATGCCATTCTCCCTTTATACCATCACTCCATCATAGTCATAACAGAATTACATTCTCAACTGCAACAGCTACCTCATGTCAGCTGCAACTGTTGCTCTACCTTAAATTTAAAAAAAATTTTTTTTACAAATCTTTATTTTAAAAATTCCATTCAAATGCATTTTAACATTGTTAATAATAGGAAGAATATATGTAAAAATACAAAATAAGACACTGTTCTTTACTTGCTTTCATAAACATCTTCCACAAACACAGTCCTCCCTCTCTGGATATATGCTATTAAAATGTGTCTCGGCTGGGCACGATGGCTCATGCCTTTAATCCCAGCACTTTGGGAGGCTGAGGCGGGTGGATCACCTGAGGTCTGGAGTTCGAGACCAGCCTGGCCAACATGGTGAAACCCTGTCTCTACTAAAAATACAAAAAATTAGCCAGGCCTGGTGGTGCGCGCCTGTAATCCCAGCTACTCAGGAGGATGAGACAGGAGAATCGCTTGAATCCAGGAGGTGGAGGTTGTAGTGAGCCAAGACTGTGCCACTGCACTCTACCCTGGGCAACAAGAGCGAAACTGTGTCTCAACAACAACAACAACAACAACAACAACAACAACAACAACAAAGTGTCTCATGTTTTGACATAAACTGGTTCTGGATCTTAATTTCAGACAGAATTTTAGAGCTCAGAACAAAGAGTTAGATCCACCAGTCAAGTCTCTTCATTTCATCAAGGCTGGGACTAGGATTGAACTTTCCTGAGATCCAGTTCAGAGTTCCTTCCCCTTCAGTAAGGTCCAACCAACAAGAAATAAACATCAGATTATTTTCCCTTCCCCGTTCCCTCCTTGCCAAAATAAGTGTTTCAACATACCTGCTGGCAGTACGTGTCAAAAAACTTAAATGCATATTTGTATAGGAGACTGCCAAATGAAATTATACTCTGGTCTAGAGAGTGAAGCAAACTCTGAGCCCGCGACAGAATGGATGAACACATATCCTTAAGAACCTTGAGTGGGGAAGAGTAGAGAGAGAAAAGAAGCTATAAGAAGCAGTTAGTACACAAGCTAAGAGTTGCTTATCCTTTTGGAATGTCAGACCTCTCCTCCCTAACTCTCATTTTAACTTGAGAAATCTTAATCTTTGTTTTACACAGAATAATCCTTCACCATTCTGAGTTTTCTCTCAGCATCAATGGGATTCCACATTTGGATAATAATTGACCTTTAAGCTCAAAGAAGTTAAATTATAAGCCTAATAGTATGTTCCTGTCTGCTCAATTTGGCACTGGAGGCCAGATCTTCTAAATCCCAGTTTCCCCATGCAATCACACTACCCCCCAGGGATGCTCCACCTTGGTTATAATTTGAAGTTGGTCTATAAGATTCAATGCTAACTAAACTGATTTTTTTTTTTTTAAGTTCAAGAAGAGAAGTGATCATGCTCTACCAATAACACAATATACATAGACATTAATGGACCCACAGTAAATAACTAGTTAATAAACATAGCTTCCTTACTGATACCACAATTTTAACAAAAATCTTACATTTAGTACTCAGCTGGGTATAATGCTTTATTGGGGAAAATACAATGAAAAATTACATATGGTTTCTGCCCTCTAGAAAATTACAGCCCAAAACATATATCATTGGTAGAAATAAACACAGAAAGAACTGCAAGGTAAAATAATACAAACATTAAATCTATTCCTAAATATAAAATTTAAGACCCAATGAAGTATTCTCATTAGCTCCTAACCCAAACCCCAAACCACTGGCCCATCCAGTTTTCTAAGTTCTATACTATTAGTATCCTGAACATTCAGCCAGCAAAACACTATTCCCAGCTTATAAAATTCCAGTTTGAATAACTTACATTTCTAGAGGAATTATCACCTAAAGTCCACAGTTTTGAATGGCCAAAGAGTGATAGTTCATGTAGGTTCATATTTACGTTTCTGCTAGTTTCTATAGGCGGGTCCTATTCCCTTCAAGGTTTTTATAAGCTACTTAGAATAGGATATAGAAGGTCAGTTTGGCAAAGTTGCAAACTGCATTGAGATAGACAATTAAAATAATTAATGCAAAAATAAAATTCAAAAATCTCAATGGGTTTGAACAATGGACTGAAACAAGATGAAATTTTACATGGGAGCTGTAAAGCTTTCCGTTTTAGATTAAAGATCAATAGTCTCTGACACTTACTAAGTCATGAACAGAGAATGTACTCTGGAGCAGCTGTTCTTGAATGCAGCCTGATCGAATCTTATTTCTTAGCACCTTTCAATATACTTCTTTGTCTGAGTATTGCTGCTATAGATGATGAAAAGCATCACCAGGTCAAAAATCTATTGTCAATAAATATGCAATAATAGAAAAACAGTTAATAAATCAGTATATTTGCTACAATGAAACAGCAGCTTTTCCCCCATTAAAACACAGAATGGATGATACTCATTTGTTCCGCATACTCCCTTGGGGTTATCCACACTTTTCACAAAATCCAGAAATATTTTTCAGAGCAATAAAGTGCCACAACTATTAACCACTGGTATCTCTTAAGAATACATGGCTATATACATGAAAGTGATATTACTACAGAAGTAACTTTGGACATCTTCACATTTATTAAAAGAAAGATTCAATCACTTGCCAACTCCAGTATGTATTTTCACTATTACTGGGAAAATTACTTTGTGAAAAGTTGGAAAGACTATAAATGCCCATCAATACGGGAAAGGTTCAATAATGGAGTAATTTTAAATTTTGGAATATTACACAGTCATCAAAAAGAATAAGCCACGCTGGGCATGGTGGCTCATGCCTATAATCCCAGCACTTTGGGAGGCTGATGTGGGCATATCACCTGAGGTCAGGAGTTTGAGACCAGCCTGGCCAACATGGTGAAACCCCATTTCTACTAAAAATACACACAAAAAAATTAGCTGGTCATGGTGGCAGGTGCCTGTAATCCCAGCTACTCAGGAGACTGAGGCAGGTGAATCACTTGAACCCCGGGAGGCAGAGGTTGCAGTGAGCCGAGATAGTGCAATTGCACTGTAGCCTGGGTGACACAGCAAGACTCTGTCTAAAAAAGAATTTTCAATTACAAAACTGAAAAAAAAAGAATAAGCTAGACCAGAGGTCCCCAACCCCTGGACCACGGAGTCCATGGTCTGCTAGGAACCAAGCTGCACAGCAGGAGGTGAGTGGCAGTCAAGTGGTCATTACCACCTGAGATCCACCTCCTGTCAGAATAGCGGCAGCATTAGATTCTCATGGGAGTGTGAATCCTATTGTGAACTGCACATGCACAGGATCTAGGCTGCACATTCCTTACGAGAATCTAAGTAGTGCCTGATGATCTAAGGTGGAACAGTGTCATCCTGAAATCATGCCCCAACATGATCTGTGGAAAAATTGTCTTCCATGAAACCAGTCCCTGGTGCCAAAAAGGTTAGGGACTGCTGAGACACACTATATTTTTTGACAGAGAAAGGACATTCCTGACATGAAGTGGAAAAAACAGCAACCTGCAAAAGGATAATCAGGTTAGGCATGGTGGCTCATGCCTATAATCCCACTGCTTTGGGAGGCTGAGGAGGGAGGATCGTTGAGCCCAGGAGGTGGAGGCAACAGTGAGCTATGATTATGCCACTGCACTCCAGCCTGGTGACAGAGTGAGACCCTGTCTCTTCAAACAACACCACCACCACCCATAATCATAGTTAAGATTCTGCTTTTGTAAAAGTAATATATAAACCTACATATGTGTAGGCATAAGAGTATACCTGTACTTGTGCATAATTATAGCTTGTATATGAACAGAAAAAATTTGGAAGGATGATTATCTCTGAGGAATGGGACAGAGAGTGGAGAAAAACTGTATTTTTTACATCTGTAGATTTCTTGTGAGTTTTTCTCCACAATTAGCTTGTTTACCTACATTTAAAAAAGAAAAATATGATGACTGGGTGTGGTGACTCAAGCCTATAATCCCAGCACTTTGGGAGGTCCAAGCAGGAGGATCACTTGAAGCTAAAAAGTTGAGACCAGCCTGGGCAACACACCAAGACCTCATCTCTATAAAAAATAAAAGAATTGGCTGGGTGTGGTGGCTCACACCTGTAATCCTAGCACTTAGAGAGACCAAGGCAGGTGGATCACCTGAGGTCAGGAGTTCGAGACCTGCGTGGCCAACATGGCAAAATCCTGTCTCTACTAGAAACACAAAACTTAGCTGGGCATGGTGGCAGGCACCTATAATCCCAGCTACTAGGGAGGCTGAGGCAGGATAATTGCTTCAACCCAGGGGACAGAGGTTGCAGTGAGCTGAGATTATGCCACTTCACTCCAGCCTGGGTGAAAGAGCAAAACTCTGTCTCAGAAAAAACAAAACAAAAAAAGAATTAGCAGGGCCTGGTGGTGCTTGCCTGTAGTCCCAGCTACTCTGAAGATTGAGATGGGAGGATCACTTGAACCCAGGAGTTTGAGGCTGCAGTGAGCTATGGTGCTGCCACCGTACTCCAACTTGGGTGACAGAGCAAGACCTGGTCTCTTAAAACAAAACAAAACAAAACAAAACAAAGAGAAAACGTTGAGAGTATATTCAGGGCAACTTGAGTCCATGCTTCTAGGAAAACAAACAAACAAACAAACAAACAAAAACAGTTAAAAAGGCAAGCAGGGCCTTTTATCCAAGATGGCCGAATAGGAACAGCTCCAGTCTGCAGCTCCCAGTGTGATCAACGCAGAAGATGGGTGATTTCTGCATTTCCAACTGAGGTACCTGGTTCATCTCATTGGGACTGGTTGGACAGTGGGTGCAGCCCATAGAGGGTGAGCCTAAGCAGGGTGGGGCATCACCTCACCCAGGAAGCACAAGGGGTCTGGAGATTTCCCTTTAATAGCCAAGGGAAGCCACGACAAACTGTACCTGGAATATCAGGCAACTCACACCCAAATACTGTGTTTTTCCCGAGGTCTTAGCAACCGGCAGACAAAGAGATTCTCTCCTGGGCCCAGCTTAGCAGGTCCCATGCCCATGGGCCTTGCTCACTGCTAGTGCAGCAGTCTGAGATCAAACTGCAAGGTGGCAGCCAGGCTGGGGGAGGGGTGTCTGCTATTGCTGAGGCTTAAGTAGGTAAAGCAGCTGGGAAGCTTAAACTGGGTGGACCCCACCACAGCTGAGCAAGGCCTAGCCCTCTATAGTCTCCACCTCTGTGGGCAGTGCATAGCTGAACAAAAGGCAGCAGACAACTTCTGCAGACTTAAACATCCCTGTCTGACAGCTCTGAAGAGAGCAGTAGTTCTCCTAGCATGGCGTTTGAGTTCTGTGAATGGACAGACTGCCTCCTCAAGTGAGTCCCTGACCCCTGTGTAGCCTAACTGGGAGACACCTCCCAGAAGGGGCCAACAGACTCCTCATATAGCCTGGTGCCCATCTGGGATGAAGCTTCCAAAGAAAGGATCAGGCAGCAATATTTGCTGTTCTGCAATATTTGCTGTTGTGTAGCCTCCACTGGTGATACCTAGGCAAACAGGGTCTGGAATGGACCTCCAGCAAACTCCAACAGACCTGCACCTGAGGGACCCGACTGTTACAAGGAAAACTAACAAGCAGAAAGGAATAGCACCAACGTCAACAAAAAGGACATCTACACCAAAACCCCATTTGTAGGTCACCAACATCAAAGACCAAAGGTAGATAAAACCACAAAGATGGGGAGAAACCAGAGCAGAAAAGCTGAAAATTCTAAAAACCAGAGCGCCTCTTCTCCTCCAAAGGATTGCAGCTTCCCGCCAGCAACTGAACAAAGCTGGTTGGAGAATGACTTTGACGAGTTGACAGAAGTAAGCTTCAGAAGGTCAGTAATAACAAACTTCTCCTAGCTAAAGGAGATGTTTGAACCCATCCAAAGGAAGCTAAAAACCTTGAAAAACAGTTAGACAAATGGCTAACTAGAATAAACAGTGTGAAGAAGACCGTATATGA